CGGCAGAATTCAAAATTTGTAAAATCCTTAGGCCTATCATAAAGAAAATCCCGATCACACATGTAAAATTAGTAAGATACATCCTTATACCCTCCGTGATTCCAAATGAACTGACCACTTCTCTCCTTGGGGAATGTCCAGGAAGTCAAAATCAGAAATGAGGGGAATAATATTTATTGGGCAATCTACTCCCTCTATGTCTACCCCCCAGGCAAAGCTGTAACATGCATGCAGCATTAAGGTCGTCTTTCAAGACACAAAAGGCCATACACCAACAGGATGCGTGCATTTGTGAAGCAGTAAAAAGGGAGTTTTCGCATTTAAAGTTCCTTCGCAATATCCATTTTATAGATTAGAAAACTATTGATGAGTTGCACGCCTTTTCACATTACGTTCCAATCAACCCTTGCATTTCCTTTCTTTTTATGTTCCTTCTGTTTCAACAGTTATTGAAAGTAAACCGTAAAACATTTAAGGCACTTGCAACCCAATTAGGTAACATAAGTACAGAAGATAAGCTGTATTACTAGAGAGTGACATACCAAAGAAAAGAAGGAAGAGAGATAATGACGATAGATGTTTGATAGGAGAGAAGGAGCAAACCACGCCAGAGCATTCACCAACCACTCACAATTATTGAAAAATACATTAAGGAAATACAATTAAAAAATTAATAAGAGTATCATATAAAACAGCAATTCTATACGGCTATCAGAGCGAATGGTACTCTTCTTTTAACAATGTCATCAATATATTATTGCCATAGATCTAACAGAACTGTTGCGACTCTCCATCAGTTTACGTCACTATACAATTTTCTCATACGTTATAACGTGTGAATGTAGGGGCCAAAGGCCTTTCTTCAAATCAATAAAACTCATGAAATATTTAAATCTCTCGCCCGAATGTAACCACCTACTTGGATGTAACGTTGATGTCAGAGTCCAGGGAATCCCATTTGTTGAAAGTCGAGTTCTGCAGTAGGGCTGACCAGTCAATATCAATGCTGGACTTGTCGGCCGGGTTACGAACCTGTCTCTTCTTACGCGAACGAGGACCATCCACATGGAACTTTCCTGTTGAAATAAGTTGATTATACACATTTTTAAAAAAACAACCTCCATAATCTACCGTACACCTCGAAATCTTCGGCGCTTGTATGATCTAATTGTGTTGCGAGTGCTGTGATACTCTTACTAAAACAAAACAATACATTAGGATGGCTCGTTTAAAGGAACTGCATACAACAACCCGACATATCTACCTGACCCTTAGCAGCTGCTTGTGAGAAAAGTAATGGGCAATAATCATGTTGAAGCTACCTTTAATAGTTTAACAGTTTTCAGAGTAATCTCCCTTAATCTTTCACTAGATTTTTTTCTCGGTGAGCATTCTGGGGGAGAGATTGCAGAGTGTGAGATGGACAAATTTTAAAAAAATATATATCTTCAACAATCTACAGGAAATTATGTGGATGTTGCCATGGCGACAGTATTTAGTGAGTTCCCAGGGCTGTTGTTGTAGTCGATGTTGTTGTTGTTATTGTTTTTGTTGTTGTTGTTGTTGCTGCTGCTGTTGCTGTTATTATTGCTGTTTCTTTAACAGCCTAACTCCGTCTTTTGGTATACCTTTTTCCTTTTGTAGTCACTAAACAGCTCTTCCCTTTCTTGCAGGTTTGTTTTGTTTTGTTGTTGTTGTTTTTTTGGAGGGTTGAGGGTTGTTGATGTTGTTTTTTTCTGCAACTGGACCGACCGAATCGTCCATTGTATTTGGAATAAACGAGGAGACTGACTTCACTCATCTGTGTATTGTCGGAAACAGAATAACAAAAACATATAGTATAGTGACAATGAAACGTTTACCTTGCCGACGCTGTTCCTTCATTTTGTTCTTTCTTATGATCTCGGATTTCTGAAAGCTAACGAAGTCCTCGTATTGCTTCATTGTGATTTCTCCGGCGTCGACTCTTTTCTTCATAGCGACCCACTGAGTTTTCATTTTCCTGAAAGTGTCTGCAGAGTGCTGGCTGATTATCTCGTTCTCACTTTTTCCTTGGTGCCCACCGGTGTGAGCGTGGTTCCTTGACTTCGAGTGGAGGAGCTGTTAGAAGAGAAAGTCTCTGTTATATTTGTTTGAGTAAGAGTTTTACGCACTTTTTAAAAAAAGGGTCAACGATGAAAGGTGTTACAAGAGGAGTTACAAACACACAAAAAAGAAAGAGGAAAGAAAAAGACGACAGATGTTTGATGGGAAAGAAGGAACAAACCACACCACAGCATCCACAAACTACCAACGAAGAGAAGCTCTGAGATTTGGAGTACGTCAATATTACAAGCCTTCTATGTCTTGACAAAACACAATTACTAATGCTCAAAGAAGGAAACATCTGGTTTTGTGGATGTATTGCTGTAAGAGCCAAAAACATCCACTTTGAGAAGATAAACCTTTAAAATAATAATAATAATGATAATAATAATAATAATAATAATAATAATAATAA